AAGCTAATTATTACACAACAAATTGAATAACTAGTAAACTACTTACTAATTATTACGAAACTTAACTAATTAGCACACTAATTAATTAAATTACAAAACCAATGAATATTAATTAAACATGCAAAACAAATGTTAAAACTACACTGCGTCAACTCTGCCTCGGGAAGTGGAGGATGCATGCATTCGGTTTTTCGCCTCGAAAAGCCCACCGGTTTGCTCTTGAGAGGCTCTGTTTGCAAGGTTATTCCAAGAACTTTCTGCTCTACCTTACCAACTCATTGCTGAGGAATGCACCAGTGGCCTGCCAGCCATGATTGGTTGCTGCCGGCCATCTGCCGACCAAAAATAAAGCACTGCCGGTCGTTGGTAAGCCACTGCTGGCCACTGGTGTGCTGAATCACCAAACTGCAACAGAGCACAAACAGAGGAAAATGGAGGGTTTTCCAAGGACATGTTTGTACTGTGCCCTCATTAGCATCTCAAAACATCAAAGGAGTGGCACTTTTGGATCCAAAACCACCAATCAAGCATTTTAAATGCATGATGGCCAAAGATCCAAGTTGTACAATTTCAATAAATGCACAAAACAAGACTCTAGACCACTACCTTGTCATGGATGATCAAAGGCAATGGAGACAAAGGAGATTGACTTATTTCATCACTTTGAGTATGAAATGGACCAATCTACCTTGTGTTCAATATAACGTCCGATTGAACACATGCAATGCAAACACAACATGCTTATCTTGGTCATGTTTTACTTGTCATGTTTTATTTACATATTTTAGCATTACCAAGTCATTCTTTAACCGGTTAAGTCCGAAGTGATTGTCCTCTAATTGAAAAGATGGCCTAAACCACAAGTGTCTTGAGCATGAAAGAGGCCTCATGCTGTTGGTTAGGAGGAACCCTCAAGAGAGGGTTAAAACCATTAGGCATGAGAGCCTCAAGTTCACACTCAAGCCAACAAGGGGCTCAAGACCACTTTCAAAGAAAAATGAAAAGTGAAGAATAGAGGGAGGTTGTAGACTTTTCAGTGCTGAAATGGCATGCAAAATAATACTACAACATGCAAACAACTCATGTACAACATGTTAAAAGCCCAAAGAATCAAACTAATAAAGAACACTACAGTAGAGGCATGCAATATCAAGCTTAAATGACCAAACCAGCTCTGGACAGAGCTTAAACATGCCAAATCAGTAGCCAAAACATGCTAAGATTAAAACATAAAACGCAAGAAAACATGCGCACATGATAGCTTGCAAACAAGGCTCAAAGCACAACTTTCAAAAGCAATCAAAAAGTGAAATACATGCGCACATGACAGAGGTTATGATACTAAAATTACACGCAAAATGATGCAACAACATGCAAACTACTCAAACACTTCATGCTTAAAGCCACAAAACAATGGACTAGTGAAGATCGTTACACTATAGCCATGCAAAACAAGCCTCAAAGGACTTAACCGACCCAAAACAGAGTTAAAGTAGGTCAAAATAGTAGCTAAAACAAGCTAGAGTTAAGCTAATACAAGCTAGAAAAATAGGCTAACTCATTAGGCATGCTAGACTAGTAAGCACAATTGCACTACAAGTACAAAAAGCAAGCAATAGGTGCACCAACCAATCAAAAACAGAGTTGAAACATGCCAAAACAGAGCCTAAATCATGCTTGAAATAAGCTAACACAAGCCACAAAAACATGCTACTATGCAATGCTAACTAGGCATGGAAGAGAGACACAAGGAGGGGAGGCCAACCCCTCCATTTTTGGACCTCAAAACAAAGCTTTTACCACTAAAAAACCTCTGAGTTTCAATGGTTAAAAGGCCAAAAGAGTTGGTTTGAAAGGTGATGAAAGATGGCACAAAAAGCTTCACAAGCCAAAGAGCCAAAATGGGGGACAACCCCATAACTCACGAAAGCTCAAACCACCATTTTTAGGACTGAAAAATAGAGGTTTTTACAGTTCAAAATCAGCTCAAAAACAATTTATAAAGGTGGCAAAACAAGTGTGCAAAACAAGTTTAAAGGGTGATAGTTATACCTCTTGAAGCACAACACACTTTAGGCACAAATCTAAGCTTAAAACACCTTCTAAAGCTCAAAGGAGGCTCCAAGAGAGCTTCAAGCAACCTCACCCCAAAGATGAACCACTTTGGTCAAGGATGTACAGGCTAAAGTTTGATATATATAAGCTTCTAAGCAAATGCTCAAGAGAGAGAGAAATCTAAAGAGAAGGGATTGTAGAGAGAGAGGTTTTAGAGAGAAAGGCTCCCAAACTTTTGCTTCCTCAAATGTTTCTAACCTTCAAAACCATAGAGAAGGCTCTCTATATATAAAAGAATGCAAGCTCAAGTCAAAAATATCCCAAAAAGGACAGCTGGAACAGCTAGAACGCAAATATTTGTAAAAAATTGACTTTTTTCATCAATGGGCAGCAAGGGACCATTGATGGCCGGCACATGATCATTTGTGGCCGGCACTAATCATCAATGGCCGGCATTGCATCATCCATGGCCGACAAAAAAATCTGCTCTCCAGGTCCAACTTTAAATGGGCATAACTCCTTCATCCGAACTCCTTTGCAGGTCATTATTTTGTCTAAATTAAAGCCCCAGAAATAAGTTTTCCAATGGTGGCAGCCTCACATCAAAATGCCAAGTGTGCTAAGAGATATCTCTCTTTTAGTGAAGACTGCTCATTTCCAGCTCAATCGAATTGATGCCTAACTTCAACCAACCATATCTCCCTCATCTGTCCTCAGCTTTAAGAGATTCTTGAGTGCAAAATGAAGCCCCGGAAGTCCACTTTCTAATGGTGGTATTCCCATAGCTGAAATCCAAGTGCACAAATGGATAGGCCCGATTTAGCGAGGGCTGCGCGACTCTCTTTCAACGATTCATGCTCATCTTCTTCCCCAACTTGGTTTCTTCCCTCTCTTCCAATTTTCTTCAACTCCAAACCTCTAAAAAAGATGTTTTAAAGATTTTTTTCAAAGAGTTCACCTCTCCTTTATTTATTCCACTTTGTCCTTGCTCGGTTTACCGAAAAGTACAATATTTAACGAAATGCGAGTATCAGAACATCGTAGGAACTTTGTTTCAAAAATATTTTGAAAGAAAGGATTTTAAGATCTAAAATCTTTGGTCAAAATAGTTTTAGTCCAAAAATGGGGTGTAAGGTTGGGATTTGGTGCTCTCTTTGCCGAAAAAATCGAACCTTTGCATAGCATAGCCTGTACCATTGAATGATCCAATCAGTGGTGCCCAAGTCCTAAGAATGGTCAAAAATAGGGTGTCTACATAACCGTTGGTAGGCATCCGAGGTAAGGTCTGCAGCAAAGCAGCAAAAGAAGGGGCATACTGAATAATCCGTGTCCAATTCTTGGAGTTTGAAGGATGAAATCTCTTTGGGAGATTTCTAGACTACTAACAACTAACCATATAATCGGTGCTATGAACTTAAATGCCATGATCCTTTTCTCTGTCTTTTTGTAAATGTTGTTGTGTATTGGGCTGGGAAAAGGGATGGGGTGTGTGTGCGTTTACTAGGCATTCAAAGCTCACGGCGTATCATGCCAAGTGCCGAAGAGGAGCTTATAGCAAGAGACGACGAGCTGGAATCCTTCGAAGACATTTGGCTATCTTAGAAAAGTTAGAAATTTCCCTTTTGATGTTTTGTAAGGCTCATATGAAAATTTAAATTTTCTTTTAGGATGTAATGTTAATGGAACAAGCTTTTGTAATTAAAGATATTCGTAATTATTCTGTTATCATGTACTTATATTCTAACACCACTATAACCCCTGACGTTGCTTATGAGACCTTATGTCAATGCCTCTTAAGATCTGTGAAAAGGATAGTGTGCTACCTAAGAAAGCTGGACTTAGAAGGAAGGCTAATTGACTCCTTCGGCGATCTGGGATCTTACTTGGTTATTGGCCATAGGACTCGTCAGTGACTTTCCCTTGACTACAACCATTAGTGTAGATTTGGAGCGTCACAATTTGATATCAGAGCCTAGGTTCAATCCTTAACCCGCACAACCCGATATGCGACTCTAGAAGCCCTTACCCCTTTACCTTATTGTATTTTACTATCATACTATTATATTCAAAAGAGACTAATAATTAAAATCTTTTCCCTCTACCCTAGGATGTCGTCAGAAAGCCGCCAGACAACCGACATCAGTCTCAACACGTAGGGAGCATTCCGCATGCAAGGTAGGAGGGCCCTGTCCCTTAATACCTACTTCAATCGTCGAAGGTGTAAATTCGCCGCCGAAGAGATAATCATCAAGGAGATACGAAGGTGGAAATAGGTTACTCTTATTACACGAGGGAACAAAAGAGGTCCTTAGTTCGACGATGCCTACAATACCTAAGTCGCGCAGCAAGGAGTGCAGTCCGAAAGGAGCACGATGACCAGAAAATGGACTCTCTGATGCACCGAGCCTTAGCAGGAGAAGCATTGCACCAATTTCCAACGGAAAGTGGCGAGTCTCACTATCATGGGCAGAACAACAATCATCTAATGGAGGTAGAGTAACCACCAGTACAACCAGGAATAACTCTAACCTTTCTAATTGAGGTGTCATCTGAACACGTCCCCCCTTCGCCGATATACACGCCCCGCTTCCCTGGCCAGGAAACCGACTCAGTTGATGAGGACCCTAAAAAAGACTTTGATTGGTTAGGAAATGAGGGTTAATCTAGGGATAGTAGGCTAGACTTTTTGTAAGATCCACTCATGTGGGTCTTTAAAGTGTATGTAGTAACTTTATGACCTTAGCATGGGTAATGCTTTTGAATGAAACTATGATGGAAGCCTTTTGTACTGATGCCTAATATAATGAAATGATGACTTGCTCTATATCTATTTACTATTACTTGTTTTAATATTCATCACACCCTAAGGAAACTATACCTTAATTTCAAATCTTGTAGAAAGATTACCTTTAGCTGGAAATTTAGAAACCAAATTACCCCGTACCATGAACAGAATGGTGGATACGCGGGCTAACGACTATTCAGAAACCAGTAACAATGCTCGGAATCATCCCAGAAATCAACATGGGCCCGTACCTCTGGGAGCTAGTATCCTTAACAATCTTGGGCATCAAATTCTGGAGGAATTAGGGCAACTAAGGAACAATCGGCAAAACGAGAGGACTCGACTCTTTTCGGAGTTCAGAAAACAAAGGCCCCTGAAGTTAACAGGAGTACCAGACCCGAAGGTAGCTGAGAATTGGCTTCGACAGATAGAGAAGATGCTAGACACTATAGGAATAACCGAAGATGCCGATAGAATAACCTTGGCCGTATTCGAGCTTGATGATAAAGCTGATCATTGGTGGGAACTAATCAAGAATATGCATGATGTTACCAACATGTCATGGAACCAGTTTAAGGAATTGTTCTTGAATAAATACTTTCCAAGTACAGTTCGTCGAGAGCGAGTAAGGGAATTCCAAAACCTGGAGCAAGGAAATATGACCGTAACCCAATACGCTGCAAAATTTGAAGAGTTAGCCCGTTACGCAACTACATATGTAGCAAATGATGAAGAGAAAGCAAGGATATTTGATTGGGGCCTAGACCTTACAATCAGGGGAAGAGTTCTCCCGCAACGACTCCACTCATATGCCGACGTGTTGGAAACGACATTAGAATCTGAAAAGGAAGTAGCCGATGCTAGGAAGACTTGGAACAAGCGGAAAGGGGGTCATACATCTGTTGGACCTCAGAGGAACTAAAAAGGAAATATGGCCTCGAAGCCCTACTGCAGACCACAACCACAACAGCAACGACAACAACCGTAGCAACAGATCCAGAGATGAGGCTATCAACCAAGGCCGGCATGATAACTCCAGTGCTTTCATTGCCAACAATTGGGGCACAAAAATAGAGAATGTTCCTAACTCTCTCCATCCGAATACCAGGGAGGAGGTTTCAGAGCAAATGCCCAGGCGTTAGGTAGACAGAAGCATTGGACAAACAAGACAGGATCTACCAGGCAGCAACACCAGAAGAGTGAAGAAACTCAGAATGCCAGGACCAGTGGCAACCAGAAGGCAACCGGCAGAGTCTTTGCCTTGCAAGAGGAAGAAGCAGACCCGTCTGTAATTGAGGGTAATTTAGTGCTATACAATTCTTGGATGCATGTTTTATTTGATACTGGTGCATCACATTCTTTTATATCCTCTGCTTGTTCTAAGTCATTAGAACTTGTATGTGAACCCTTAGAGACTACCTTAAATGTAATGTCACCTATGGGAGGATGCGTTCGAATAGGGTTAATCTGTAAGGATTGTAAAATAAGAGTGTCGAACCTACACTTAACTTGCGACCTTCGTGTCATGGAAATGTTAGACTTCGATATCATCTTGGGCATGGACTGGTTGTCTGCCCACCAAGCAGTGATCGACTGCCGTCTGAGGAAAGTAGTAGCTCACATGCTTGACGGAACACGTTTCCAGTTTAAAGGGGATAGACAAGACTACATGACTTCAACAAAATGTAAGACACGGTGGCACGATCAACTTGCAAGTAAGATAGCAAGTTTGATTTTAAATGAGGAGGGCCAAGAAGAATTAGAACTTCCGCGTGTAGTACGTGAATATGCAGATATATTTCCTACGGAATTACCGGGATTGCCACCAACCCAGAAGGTAGACTTTAGTATTGAGCTACAACCTAGAACTACCCCAATATCCATGGCCCCATATCGTATGGCACCAGTATAACTACGAGAATTAAAGACACAACTATAGGAGTTTCTCGAGAAAGGATTCATTAGGCCAAGTACTTCACCATGGGGAGCACCCGTGCTATTTGCTAAAAAGAATGATGGGTCGTTAAGGATATGCATCGATTATCGTCAACTCAACTGAGTCACGATCAAGAACCAATACCCACTCCCAAGGATTGATGATCTTTTTGATCAACTTAGAGGCTCAAGGTGCTATTCAAAGATCGATCTCAGGTCAGGTTACCATCAACTACGAGTCAAGGAGGAGGATATACCAAAAATTTCCTTTCGAACTAGATATGGTCACTATGAGTTTGTAGTAATGGCCTTTGGACTAACCAATGCACCGAAAATATTCATGAGCCTAATGAACAAGATTTTCACACCATATCTTGACCTTTGTAGTAGTGTTCATTGATGACATCTTGGTATATTCAAGGTCTGAAGAAGAGCATGAGCAACATTTAAGAATTGTCCTTTAAGTTCTTAGAGACAATCGGTTATATGCCAAGGCAAGCAAATGTGAGTTTTGGTTGAATGAAGTGAAATTCTTAGGGCATATAGTGTCTGAGAATGGGATTGTGGTGGACCCAACCAAGGTGGAAGCAGTCTTAGATTGGAGACAACCGAAAACTGTGTCAGAAATCCGTAGTTTCTTAGGATTGGTTGGTTACTACCGAAGGTTCATCCTTTCTCCAAACTAGCTAGACCAATGACTCATTTGACGCAAAAATGAGTAAAGTATGAGTGGAACGAAGCTTGCGAAAAATCCTTCCATGAGCTAAAGAAGAGATTAAATAGTGCGCCAATTTTGACCATCCCGGAACAAGAAGTGGGCTACACTGTGTATTGCGATGCGTCTAAGAAAGGGTTAGGCTGCATGCTCATGCAAAATGGAAAGGTAGTCGTGTATGGATCCAGGCAGTTGAAACCACATAAACGTAACTACCCAACACATGACTTGGAATTAGCGGCCGTAGTTTTTTCCCTAAAGCAATGGCGACATTACCTGTATGGGGAACAATTTGAGATTTTCACAGATCACAAAAGTTTGAAGTATCTATTTACACAGAAGGACCTTAACTTGAGACACAGACGATGGATAGAGTATCTTAAGGATTTCTAGTTCACTCCCAGTAAAGCCAATGTAGTAGCAGACGCTCTAAGTCGCAAGAGCAGAGGGATGATAGCTAAAATTTCCATTAAGGAATGGGATATGGTTAAAACACTCAATGAATTAGAATCCAAGTAGAATTTCTAGATACAAAGGTATACTTTGGTGCACAAAAGGTGATGCCTAAGTTGATAAGTGAGATCATGGAGGCCCAGAAGCACGATCAAGAAGTATCCTATATCAAGGGACGTTTGGAATCAGGAGAACCAATGCTCGATTGGGTAATTCACCCCAATAGGAGTTTAAGATATCAAGGTAGATTGTTTGTGCCAAGTAACGAGTTGCTTAAAGAAAAATTACTTAAAGAATGTCATCACTTTGTATTTGCGGTACATCCAGGAGGGACTAAAATGTACAAGATTTGAAGAGGCAATATTGGTGGAGCGGAATGAAGAAAGATGTGGCTAAATTTGTAGCAAAATGTCTAACATGCCAACAAGTGAAGGCGGAACATCAGAAACCAAGAGGAATGTTGCAACCCTACCAATAGCCGAATAGAAGTAGGAATACGTAACAATGGACTTTGTGACATGGCTGCCCAAGACACCCAGAGGGCATAATACTATATGGGTAATAGTGGATCGCCTAACTAAGTTAGCACATTTCTTACCCTATAAGCTTACTGACACTTTAGAGTCTATGTACAGGCTCTACATTGGGGAAATCATTCGACTTCATGGAATTCCGGTATCTATTGTGTCAGATCGTGATCCACGATTCACCTCTTGATTTTGGAAAAGTCTACAAGAAGCTCTGGGTACTGAGTTATGTTTTAGCATTGTTTTTCACCCATAAATGGATGGACAATCTGAACGCACCATCCAGGCACTCGAAGATATGTTGAGAGCTTGTGTAATGGATTTTCGAGGAAGTTAGGAACGACACTTACCTTTAATTGAATTCGCCTATAACAATAGCTTTCAAGCTAGCATTGGTATGGCGCCTTTTGAAGCATTATATGGGCGACCTTGTAGATCGCCAATTTGTTGGACGGAAATAGGTGAAATGAGTCTAATAGGACCAGAACTTGTCATAGAGACCACTGAGAAGGTCAAATTGATCCGACAATGGTTAAAGACTGCTTAAGACCGTCAAAAGAATTATGCAAATAGGAGGAGAAGGCCATTGATGTTTGAAGTAGGCGACCACATGTTCCTAAAGGTGTAACCTAGGCATGGAATTGTACGTTTTGGAAAAAGGGGGAAGCTATCACCACAATATATCAGACCTTTTGAAATATTAGAGAAGGTGGGCGAAGTGGCATATCAACTAGCACTACCCCTGTAGTTAGCCGGGATACACAACGCCTTTCATGTATCTATGTTGCGGAAGTACGTTGTCGATCCATCACATGTCATCAACTGGGAAGAAATCAGTCTCGACAAAGATGTTACCTTTGAAGAAGAACCTGTAGCAATACAAGATAGTCAAGAGAAGAATCTTAGGGGCAAGACGGTTCATCTAGTAAAGGTGCTTTGGCGACATTGTGGAATTGAATAATCAACCTGGGAACGTGAAGACGTGATGAGGACAAACTATCTCCCAACTTTTTTAGCGTAACGAGTGATTGTAATTTCGAGGAAAAAATTAGTTTAAGGGGGATAGGTTGTGAGGCCCTAACTTTTTGTAATGTTCCCAAACGCTTATAGTTGAAGAATTTCAATAAGAAACCCTGTTTTTCCATTTCTTGCAAATTAAACCCTAGAAATCAAGAACGATTACACGAGCTAACCGGCAAACCCTAGTCGACTTTAAGAACTCAGGAAACATTTTAAAACATTGAATTAATAATTTAGAAACCCTAGAATGAAAAATATATATATAAATAAATAAAAAAACCCTAGTTTTCGGTAATCGTAGTTTTAGCCCAGTATCTCGCCTTTTGTTGCGAATCGGCACCACGTGGCCCGAATTATTTTTCCTATCATTATTTTATTAATTATATGACTCAAACATATGTTTTAATTCAAGATTTCATATTGTACCCTTTTCTTTCTTAATTATTGCATTTTGGCCCTAAAACCTTAATATTTTATTCAATAAAGGTATAACCAATATTTTATTAATTTATACAAAATATCCTCTATATTTTATTAACAAAAAAAATCAAATTTTCACATAAGCAAATAGGGTAGCCGGCTGTGGGTAGTGAAAAGGACCTAGAATTGTATTTTTTTTTAACATAGCAAATCTTGTACAAAAATGCAACAAATCTTGACAACATGGAGGAATGAGGGACATTTATTGCTATATCTTTTTTGTCTCCCAATTAACTAGTAAATAGGATTACCTTCTCTTAATCAAGATTAATTAACACAAATCTTAATTGGATCCAATTACAAACCAACCAAACCAAACCAACCCTTCTCTCTCCTCTTTGGCCTATAAATACAAGCCTTACTATCTATTTTATTTCACTCCATACACACACAACACACATCTGAGAGAGGAAGAAAGGGAGAGCAAGTGAGCTTGAGAGAAAAAGAGAAGAAAATAGAGCAACAAGTAGGAAAAAGATCTAGCAAACCAAGGTAAATCTCATACACCTCTCCTCTCAATGAATCATCATGTTTTTCCCTTCATAATACATGATAAAAATATATTTCACATGATATTAAGAGTTACTACATTGTTAGATGATGTATGGTTGAAAATGAAATGTTCATCTTCTTCCTTGCAATTTCCAGCAAGCTTTTCTTCAAGGTCTTTGATTTTATTTCCATAGCAAACCTTCACCAACTCAAATTATGTTTTAAATGGGTATTAATTGACATGTATAGATTATGTGAAAGTTTTGGCTAAGACCATGGATGTGTTTTTATGACTCCTTTTATTTTTCTAAATACTCAGTGCAAGAACCTGTTTAAAATATGGAACTTTAAGAAATTCTAGAAAATTATAGAAAAATGATCTCGTGTTCGTTTTTATATCAAAATCTTCCTTTGAAGGTTAGCTTTCAAAAAACAATTATTTCAATGAAAATGAATGAGTATTTTAAGAGAAACGCCAAAATTTGTAACCATCGTCAAATTTGGGCAGAGTCTGTGTATTTCTTAAATATCTAAAAATCAAAAAGGGCCACCCTACTTCCGTAAAGTGATTTTGAAACTAGACTTGATTCTCTACAAATACTCTAGAAGCCACATTTCTAAAACCCTTAAAAAAATATTTTTTCTATATTTATTTTTGAACCGATGCAGTACTGGAAATCTGAACAATGTAGTTCTTGTTATAGCCAATGCTTTTGTGCTATCATGACATATTTTTTATAATATATGTTATACTTGCATGCTTTAGTTTCACCTTGAATGGCCTTATTTTTCTCTTACTTGTGCTAACCACTAATGTGTATTAAACTTAATGTGAAAAAGGAGAAAACTAAATGGGTTGGTAAAGAGGGTTAACGACTACACTAGTCATACATCATAAATGATGAGAATGTTAAGTTGATATTAGTAGTGGATTAAAATGAGCAATTCTTGCACAACTGGTTGTTCAGAACCCTTGAATGGAGCGGTTGTATTCGGACCCTAGGTAGTTCGGTATAAGGAGGGGTTTGGGCTAGGCCTATCATTACCGTCTCTTTTTAGGCCCTCAGTTGGCGCTACGTGGTATATAACCGTTGGTAGGCATCCGAGGTAAGGACTGCAACAAAGCAGCAAAAGATGGGGCATACCGAATAATTCGCATCCAATTCTTGGAGTTGGGAGGATGAAATCTCTTTGGGGGATTTCTAGACTACTAACAACTAACCATATAATCTGTGCTATGAACTTAAATGCCATGATCATTTCCTCTGTCTTTTTGTAAATGTTGTTGTG